TTTTCTTTTTTTATTAGTAATGATATTTTTAACTGCGCACAGCACAAATATATACAAAATTGTTAGCATATCATGGTTCTAATCTTCTTCTGAGTCGCTATCATCCTCGCTTTCGTCTTCCAGTTCCGACATGGGAAAACGTAATAAAGCTGCTATCCCAGTTAATTGATCTAATTCTGAAAAGAAAATTATAATTTTATTTTAATACAAATAAATTTATTAGGACACACAATAATAAGTTTCTTTAGTAAGCACTTTACATTTTAAAAAATTTCAGCTGAATCATTTGTATCATTTATATGTATAAGACTTACGTTCACCCGAAACATGTAGACTCGAAAATATTTTGACGTCGCCACCCGAGTCTTTCACGTTTTCAACTAACTCAACGTATTCCTTTCTCTGTGCTATGTCTTGACATCTGAAAACGGATTTGACAAAAGTACAAAAAAAATATTACAAAATAAAATTAATTATAAAATTAATATTGCAATAAGTAATAGGTTTAAGAAAATCACCTGAATAATTTATCTGATATAAGCAGAGTTTCTACTGCTTGAGCAGCACTGGCTTTTTCAACATGCTTCTTGCCATAAAACGCTCTAGCAGGATCCATTTGAAGAGTATTATAAAATACCTCTAAAGCCCTTACTTCTCCTGCTGCTTTGGTATCAGAAATTCGGGAAACTACAGCAGGATCGGCTAGAACCTCTGTTATAACGATGAATTAGAATAAGTATAAAGATAATGACACTTTTCAAATATTATGTTCATTCAGATTTCATAGATATCTATACGGTACCTTTTAATGAATGTTTAAAACCTGAACTAGCATGAACTAGCAAAAATTTACTTTTATTATCTAAAATAACTTTATTATCAGATTTAACAGCTTGTTGTATCATATAATCCATAAATTGATCTTTCACAAAACCAGGACTAGCCAGGATAACACATTTCACTAGATCGAAATTGATGTGCCTCAATATGCCTTGCATAATGCTCTCGTAAAAACGTGTCAAGCCCTAAATATATATCAAATTAGAAATTTTGTTTAGGTTTATCCATACAAAACATTTTTAACGTTGACATAAGGTTTTTCAAACCTTTTCGTGTTGTGAAACGTTTCCTTTCCTTTTTCTTGGTATAACTTGATCAATTTTTGTACGGACTATTGTCATGTTGGAAGTTATCAAACAAATTTGTGCTATGCCTTCTTGCATAATGGCAGCGGCTACATCAGCATTCTAAAACAAAACAAAAGAAAGCATTATAACCAAATATACAGGGTGTTTGGCGACTACCGCATTTTTTGTCATACGTGGGTAGAACAGCCTATACTGAATCAAAAAGTCCTGTACCATTTTGCGGTGTTAGCAATAGTTAACGAGATATTAATTACTAAAAATTGCATATTGGTTTTGAATAATTTTTTACTCAAATACTATCAACTTTATAGAAAAACTGCAAAAGACAAAAATTATTTATTTTCTTCTCATAAAGTTCTGAGAATATTTTCAGAATTTTTTCAGAATTTTTTAATATCGTATTTTCTCATGTTGGTAAAAATAAGAAAATG